ACAGAGATCAGAAATCCACACCAACACTGATATCAGTGCATCTCTGTTAAATAAAAAAAAAAAAGAAAATAAGCGCTTCAGTGTTTCTCATTAAAAAGTGCAGAAAAAAATGTATATTTTATAAAGGACAACAACCAAAAAAAAAAAACTTGTAAAAACATCTTACACTGAATAATACCAGCTATCCATTTTCTGTCATGTTTATCCCAAGCAGGGTGGCGAGGGCTGCTGGTGCATGGGTGAGAGGCGGGCTACACCCTGGAGAGATCACCAGTCCATCACAGGGCAACACAGAGACAAACATAATCAACCATTCACACACTAACACCTAAGGAGAATTTAGAGAAGCCAATTAACCTAATAGTCATGCTTTTGGACTGTGGGAGGAAGCCGGAGTACCCGGAGAGAAACCACGTATGCTCAGGGAGAACATGCAAACTCCATGCAGAAAGAACCTGTCCTGTAATCGAACCCGGAACTTCTTGCTGCAAAGCAGCAGTGCTACCTGTACTGCTACCTGCACTGTTCACTGTGCCCAAGAAACCCAACATGGAATAATTGCAAATTAATTCAACGTTCAATGTCTCAATAAATACAAAAACAAATGCTGATCACAACTCGCTTCATTACTTGAACATCCTCACATGCATATTAATATCTGGTACCTAACGACAAACTAAAAAAACAGTAGCTATGACACAAATTTAAATCTATGTTAGTGTTAAAAATATAAACATATATAGCAGCATATATTCAAGATAATTTCTTTGATCAGGCTTTTACAAGACACAAAACAAAGACAAACGTAAAACAGAATAGAGATGACTTCTTCAGACAGTAATTAGCTGCTAATTTATTAAACACAAAAGAACAAAGAAAAGTGAATGCCTTTTTGAGATTTTCTTAACCATTTCAAAGTGAAATAAAAATATGCCCAGCCTCTAAAGAAAATAAACAATGCTAGCTCATAGATCATTTAAATGACTAATGATTTGACTTCACACAGCGCTGTCTTTTTTTATTTTCCCAGCCTCCTTTATGGCGATGGGCTGATGACTCAGTAACGGCCTGAAGAATCTAGCTTCACCCTTTCGAAAGGAGGCATTCATTCAAATAAACTTACACAATGGCACATGCCTACACCCACATGCTGCTGATATGTCAACTAAATGGTGCAAATGAAAAGAAAACAAAACTGTCAATTACCTAACACTTTGTAGTACATGTTCTAATTCCTTTACAAATAAAATGTTCTCCCTCTCCTTGTTTTCCAGTTTTTAGCTATCCAATCAAGACCATGGACTCTGACAAATAGTAGAATCAGATCTATTTTGGCCGATCCTAAATGGACGATAAAATGCATTGATCAAAAAAATAAGATGAAGTTGACACACAAATATCGACTCTAACATTTAATGTTTTCCTGCCAAGAAATATTTGGTGTTTGTCTTCATCTTGATGAGGAAGGGACCTTGGTGTCTGTGCTAC